CGAGATTGATGAGTCGGACAAGATCTACTTGCGAGACCCCAGCTCCGCACAGCGCATCGAATATCCGCTACCACGCGAAGCCTTGGAGTTGGCTCGGGACTTACTGCGGAGTTCAGCCACCGTGTAGATAGAAAAGCATGCACGTTGTGCTAAGTTCCGTCCCCGGACCTCCAGCCAGGCAAGGCTCGGGGGTTTCGCACTGTGGCAGCGTGTCGTGAAGGTGTGCCAGTGATGACAGGTCCTCTTTGTAGAACCTTGGGCTAACCGGCCATGACATCGGGCACGGGCTTGGGTTCTAGGGCCACTGCGTGCTTGCTGGTGCCACTCCTTGCTTGTGCTACTTTTGGGTTGCGGGATCACAAATGCCAAATGCATTTCGCGAAGCCGATAGCAAGCATTACATCGTGAGGCACTCGGTGAGGCTGCGGAGCTGGTTGAGGTTGCCCGGGCAGCGGGCAGCCAAACAACCGAAATAGAAAAAGCTGAGATGTCGTCCTGGGCATCTGCGATGTACTGCATCCATCAAGGGTTTCTAGGTTTTGCTACAGAAAAAGGAAGACTCCCGAAACACTCTAAAGTCTTGGACGCCCTGCTTAAAATAGTATACATGCTTTGAATATTTCATAATTGAATGACAAAGGGGACCCAAAATGAAACGAACGAAACGTGAAAGTGGACAAAGAAGCACCTTTTCTTTCAAGGCTTCCAAGAAATGGAGGTCTCCGGTGTGGGTGTCGATTTAAGGTGGTTTTGCTACAGGAAAAAGTAAAGGACAGCCCAATTTTGGATACATGTAACATCAGGTCGTTAAAGTTGTTCCTACATTTTTCCGTTTTGTGTGGTCTTTGCGGGACTTTTGCAGGGTGCCACGGGGATCCCGCCAAATTTTGACCCCCCAAATGCTGTTCCTACCCTCGTCTGTTTTGTGCGGTATTGCAGGACTTGTGCACGGTGCCAAGGGGATCCCGGCAAATTCTGACCGGCAGTTGTTCCTACGCTTTTCCGTTTTTTCGCGGTATTTGCAGGACTTTTGCAGGGTGCCAAGGGGATCCCGGCAGATTTTGCAGCCCAAATGTTTTTCCTACCCTTTTGCGTTTTGTGTGGTATTTGCAGGACTTTTGCAGGGCGCCAAGGGGATCCCGCAGATTTTGCAGCCCAAATGTTGTTCCTACCCTTTTCCGTTTTGTGTGGTATTTGCAAGACTTTTGCAGGGCGCCAAGAAAATCCCGGCAGATTTTGACCCCCAAATGCTGTTCCTACCCTTTTCCGCTTTGTGTGGTGTTTGCAGGACGTTTGCAGGGCACCAAGGGGATCCCGGCAAATTTTGACCCCAAATGTTGTTCCTACCCTTTTCCGCTTTGTGTGGTGTTTGCAGGACGTTTGCAGGGCACCAAGGGGATCCCGGCAAATTTTGACCCCAAATGTTGTTACTACCCTTTTCCGTTTTGTGTGGTATTTGCAAGACTTTTGCAGCTGGCGAGGGGATCCCGCCAAATTTTGACCCCAAGTGCTGTTCCTACCCTCTTCTGTTTTGTGTGGTATTTGCAGGACTTGTGCACGGTGCCAAGGGAATCCCGGCAAATGTTGACCGGCAATGTTGTTCCTACCCTTTTGCGTTTTGTGTGGTATTTGCAGGACTTTTGCAGAGTGTCCAGGGGATCCCGCCAAATTTTGACCCCCCAAATGCTGTTCCGACCCTCGTCTGTTTTGTGTGTTGGCAGGACTTGTGCACGGTGCCAAGGGGATCCCGGCAAATTTTGACCGGCAAAGTTATTTGCAGGACTTTAGCAGGGCGCCAAGAGGATCCCGGCAAGTTTTGACCGGCTCATATTTAAATCGGGGCCTTCATAGTTAGATTATTTAAACTCTTTAATTCTGCAATAGACGGCACAGTTCCCGTAGCATGTTATATCGTTTCTCCTTGCGAGGCGTACAACCACCTGAAACATTCTGAAAAACTAAAATATATCAGTAAAGTATTTAAACAAAGCCTTCTGGCTTACGTACCCATTCAACGCAAGACCACCCTATACTTTCGCCATATGAAGAAAAACAGCACAGTTCCCGTAGCATGCTATATGAGATGATTTCTGTCATTTCTTCTTACGCGGCGTACAAACACCTGAAGCGCCCCCCTAAAAATGTTATCGTAAAGTGTCCAAGAAAACTTTTGGCTTACCCCTCGAACTCGAAACCCCCCGACACTTCTGGCTTACTCCTTGAGCTCTAATATGCCCTGAATGCTTGCTGTATTGAGATATGACAGCACAGTTCCCGTAGCATGCTATATCACTTCTGCTTCCGAGACGTACAACCGCCTGAAACACCCTGAAAAACAATACTTTTTGTAGTAAAGATGTGATACCAGTCGCTTCGGACGAGCAGGATAAAAGACCTTATGTGCAGACAGAGCCCGCAGAAACGACGACAGCTTGTGTGCTGGCAGGGAAGATTGCTCTCGTCGGCAAAAGATCGTGCTCAGCTCGGCAACACACCCCCTGCTTCAGAGTAGGGAATGAGGAAATTAGGGCCCTTAGAAAATCCCTGAAAGGGTGCACATGCTGCATTTAGGATTTAGGGTTTGGGGGTTGGGGCTTAGGGTTAGGGTCTAAAGGGTTTAGGGCGTTAGGGTCTAAAGGGTTTAGGGCGTTAGGGTTTTTAGTGTTTTCAAGGTCTTGTGTCTTCGGTGTAGGGTGTTGAAGGGTTTTAAGGGTTTCAAACGTTTGTTCAGGGTTACAGGCTTTAGGGTTGAGATTTTTGGGTTTTTGGGTTTCGGGTTTTAGGTTTGAGGGTATAGGCCTTCAGAGACCTGCATGTAAAGGGTATAGGGTTTAGGCTTTGCGTGAGGGTGTTGGGCTTCGGTGGAGGGGGAGGGCTGAGCGGGGATACGATTGGGGGGTGGGGGGGGGGGCCTGCTGACACGGCGACACGGAACCATACACAGAGCCCGAATTCCCTCATTCCCTACTAAGAACCAGCCAGCAGATTCACTCGACCTGCACTCGACCTTCGACAAGAGATGAGGCTGCCAGACACTGTCACTGCTGAGGCCCGCTACCAGAAGCGCGCTCGGCAAAGTCCCTGGCCTGGCCTCGGTGTAGGGTTTCGGGTTTAGGGTTTAGGGCTGTAAAAAAAGGGGTTTCGGGTTTAGGGTCTTGAGTCTCTCTGTCACGCCCAGGGGACTTGGAGGGCTGGCTTGGAGCTCCTGGGCTCACAGGCGGGCGCAATGTCTTAAAAAGGAGGCTCAGGGTTTAGGGCCACATGAGGGCCATAAAACACTCTTATCCGGAAAAGGAAAGAGAATCGCCTCTCAATGTGCAAGTGGGCAATTTTGCTCGAGAAACCAATGAAAATCCAGCCGGCTCACGGAAATATCGATTCCAGTAGTAAGCTTGTACTAAAAACCAAGACAGCTCACGGAAAACGGAAAGTGAGGGAGCTGCAGGGGGCGGGGGAGGGGGCAGCAGGAAGGGGATTTCACTGTGCTGGTGGCATGGGAGGTTGCCAAAGGCTGGGGAAGGGGTGCTGAAAAGAATGGGGGCGTTGGAGAAGGGCTGCGGCGCGAGGTGGGTGGGGCCCGGGGCGGGGGGCGATTGACGGGGTTTGAAAAGAGCTGGGGCAAAAAAGCCAGCTCTACAAACAAAAAACATCGATTCCAGTACTAAACTTGTACTAGAAACCGATGAAAGACCAGCCGGCTCACGGAAACATGGATTCCAGAACTAAGCTGGTACTACAAACCAATGAACAGCCGGCCGGCTCATGAAGCCAGCTCACGGAAACATCGATTCCAGTTCTCAACTTGTACTACAAATAAATGAAGAAATGAAGATACATCTGGATCACGGAAACACCCCACCATTTCTTGAAGGCCCCTGGCATCGATACTGCTCACGAAAGCCTGCAGACGGGATCTAGGGCTCAGCGGCACTGCACACACCACATCGACGGCAACTACAGCTAGTCGAGCCTGGGATTGGCACCGCAAAAGCTCCCAAGTCTTTTCTCGGGTGGCCACGGCTCGCGACTGCCAAGAACGGTGAACCGTCTCAGCTCGCATCGATGCGACGCGTGGGGTGCTGCCAAAGCGGCAACATCTGTGGCACTGTGCTTCTTAGCGACTTGTCAAAGGGGGGCAAACAGGGGATGTGGCAGCAAGCCTGAACCTAAATCCCCGCCCAGAAGTCCAGCATGGGGCACGGGGAGTCTGTAGGGCCGAGGTTTCGGTTTAGCGCCCCTGACGTCTCCCACAGCGAACACTGCTAGGATGACATGCTCGCGTCAGGTCGCCGTGCTGTGCCAGAAAAAGCTCATATGCCAGCTACCACAGCTCGACACATCCTTGAAATTCCTGGAGAGGTGGAAGCAGTGCGGGAATCGGCTCGGGCAGGGGCATCCAAGGATCAGCTCGAGAGGCTACTGAGTCGGACGGAAAACACAATTCAAGGAATCTTGCTGCTAGAAAAGCCCACACCTTGGCATTTGCAGATTTCGTCGAAATGAACGGTGGCCTATGTTATACACTGTTGCCTTATCTTATGTTATCCTATCTCATTTTGACATCGCCTCTTTCTCTTTCTGCGATATTGTCGAGGCTGCGGTTCTGTCGAAGCAACTATGCCATAGAAGCAAACACCACAAGTTCTGGCTGGAAACATTCAGATTCATAGACTGGTTGTCAGCTAGGCAAAAAAAGCGATGAGGCTTAAGTAGCGTCCCTCAGCGCCCTGCCCACAACGGGCCGAACGAAGGCCAACACCAAGGAAAGCCCTGAAAGGAAATCTTCGAGAAGGTTCCACGGGCTACGACATTGGTGACACCCGCTGAGGCCGCAACAAGTCTTCCTGAACAAGCCAGCCGGGGCCGATGCCCAGGCAAGGCCACACCCTGCCACACCGTGGAGTTGATGTCAAGGTCAGCATGTGCTGCATGTGATTGTCTAGAGTCTGGAGCTCGCGACCAAAAAGGAAAGTTCGGTTCACAAGCGACAGGCTCAGGACATGGCGTGTGCTGTTGATCTCGACTCGCGCCACCTACCCTCTACAGCGACTGTGGCTGGATTCTCAGACGCACAGCGGGTCTGTTGATTGAATTTGCAGGTCATGGGCCGGCCGCTCCCTGCTCTTAGTTGCGACGCGTATGCCTATCAGCAGGTTACAGTGGCATGCAGGTGGACTTCCTAACCTAGGGCTTTGAGTGTGGGCGGTGGGGTGGGTTGTCGGTGTGGACGGCGCGGGTTCAAAAACTGGAGGCGGGGTGGGCAATGAAAAACGTAACACAAACCTTCGCCGCCCACCTGGCGGGGGGTCGGCGGACACACATATGTTATGATATGATATATATATATATATATATATATATATATATGTATATATGCATCCTTCAAATGTTCTTGATACGACTTCAAATCGTCCGCAAAGCTGTACCGGTAGAGATGCTTGTCCTTAGTTCCAGAACTGTGAACGTGAAGCCTCCAGCAGCCCTCTCCTAGATACCCAAAATACCACACTAAGGTTGAGGGTTTAGGGCCTGTAGGATTTGGGGTTTAGGGTTAAACAGGGTTTAGGGTTTAGGGTTTAGGGTTTAGGGTTTAGGGTTTGGGTGGGCAGAGGGGGTGGATGCTGGGCTTTTGTCGCAGAAGACCTACCAAAGTAAAGCTGAGTAAGATGAACAAGTAGGCCACTGGCTGAAACATGCTGAAACCCTCAGGAGTTCCACTAATTAAGCAGATTCTATCATGTTCTCAAAAAGTTTTCCTGAACGCTTGTTATTCGTTTAAAGTAAAGACCCAGACCCTATTCCTTAATACTTGTACATGAGTAACGCTTAGGAATAATAGTAATGCTTCGGGTGCCTGCGGGTGTGCCCTTGATGTTGAAGCCTAAGCCCTATTCCTGTTAACCCTATATTTGTTGAAGCTTTAGGCTTATTCAAAGTTCAAAACATTTTGAAACCATGCATTTCCCTTCGCCGCTAAAGAAATTTCGTTAAGTTCCCGTATTTTCTGCTTCGGGTGCCTGCGGGCTGTACCCTTGAATGTTCCCGCACTCACTATTTGTTGAAGGTATAGGCTTCAACCTATTGCCACCAAAGAATTTTCGCTAAAGCCCAGAACCTATTCCCATACTCTCAACAAAGATTGTTTGGCAAAAGTCATGCTTCGGGTGCCTGCGGGGTAAGGTTGAGGCCTAAGCGGAGACCAGTAAGAAAGAAAGAAGGAAAGAGAGAGAGAAGCGAAGGGAAGGGACAGTGAAGGGACGATCATTCATGGGACCAGCCCTGGCTGCAGGGGCCAAGCCGATCCACACCAGGCAGCCTCGTAATTACACCGCAAGCAGCGCCGACGATCTCAAGAGACCCGTCCCCCACTTCCTCTGCAGCCAGCAGAGCCCAGCAAAACTTCCCGGTACCCGTTACAGGACAGGCCACGTCGGCCTTGATTTGGGTCGTTGCTGAACAGAATAACATCATCGATCACAGGGCCGTGGCAGCCACTACAGTGGCAGCTGTAAAGGCTGCAGGTCAGAATGCCCGCTGCTACGGCAGGATCCTTATCCTTATTGGGAGCGGCAGGAGGCTGCTCTCTGCGCTGGAACCTTACCTTTGCAGCAATGCGGAACACTAGCAAAGCCCGTGCATCAGCAGCAGTGCGCTGCATTTGTTATTCGTAAGCGAGCTGCAGCAATTGGGGTTTGTTTGAAAATTTTGTCACCCAGGCGATCCATGCTTCGAACATGTTGCTGCAGGCCATGATGGATGCTGTCAGTGAATG